GAGATTTTGAGATCCTGAGATTCTGAGATTCTAAAATTCTAAGATTCTGAGATTTTGAGATTCTGAGATTCTGAGATTCTAAGATTCTGAGATTCTGAGATCCTGAGATTCTGAGATTTTGAGATTCTGAGATTCTGAGATTCTAAAATTCTAAGATTCTGAGATTCTGAGATTCTGAGATTCTGAGATTCTGAGATTTTGAGATTCTGAGATTCTGATATTTTAAGATTCTGAGATTCTGAAATTCTGAGATTCTAAGATTCTGAGATTCTAAGATTCTGAGATTCTGAGATTCTGAGATTTTGAGATCCTGAGATTCTGAGATTCTAAAATTCTAAGATTCTGAGATTTTGAGATTCTGAGATTCTGAGATTCTAAGATTCTGAGATTCTGAGATTTTGAGATCCTGAGATTCTGAGATTCTAATATTCTAAGATTCTGAGATTCTGAGATTCTGAGATTCTGAGATTCTGAGATTCTGAGATTCTGAGATTCTGATATTCTGAGATTCTGAGATTCTGAAATTCTGAGATTCTGAAATTCTGAGATTCTAAGATTCTGAGATTCTAAGATTCTGAGATTCTGAGATTCTGAGATTTTGAGATCCTGAGATTCTGAGATTCTAAAATTCTAAGATTCTGAGATTTTGAGATTCTGAGATTCTGAGATTCTAAGATTCTGAGATTCTGAGAGATTCTGAGATCCTGAGATTCTGAGATTCTAAAATTCTAAGATTCTGAGATTCTGAGATTCTGAGATTCTGAGATTCTGAGATTCTGAGATTCTGAGATTTTGAGATTCTGAGATTCTGATATTTTAAGATTCTGAGATTCTGAAATTCTGAGATTCTAAGATTCTGAGATTCTAAGATTCTGAGATTCTGAGATTCTGAGATTCTGAGATCCTGAGATTCTGAGATTCTAAAATTCTAAGATTCTGAGATTCTGAGATTCTGAGATTCTGAGATTCTAAGATTCTGAGATTCTGAGATTCTGAGATCCTGAGATTCTGAGATTCTAAAATTCTAAGATTCTGAGATTCTGAGATTCTGAGATTCTGAGATTCTGAGATTTTGAGATTCTGAGATTCTGATATTTTAAGATTCTGAGATTCTGAAATTCTGAGATTCTAAGATTCTGAGATTCTAAGATTCTGAGATTCTAAAATTCTAAGATTCTGAGATTTTGAGATTCTGAGATTCTGAGATTCTAAGATTCTGAGATTCTGAGATTTTGAGATCCTGAGATTCTGAGATTCTAAAATTCTAAGATTCTGAGATTCTGAGATTCTGAGATTCTGAGATTCTGAGATTCTGAGATTCTGAGATTCTGAGATTCTGAGATTCTGATATTTTAAGATTCTGAGATTCTGAAATTCTGAGATTCTAAGATTCTGAGATTCTAAGATTCTGAGATTCTGAGATTCTGAGATTTTGAGATCCTGAGATTCTGAGATTCTAAAATTCTAAGATTCTGAGATTTTGAGATTCTGAGATTCTGAGATTCTAAGATTCTGAGATTCTGAGATTTTGAGATCCTGAGATTCTGAGATTCTAAAATTCTAAGATTCTGAGATTCTGTGATTCTAAAATTCTAAGATTCTGAGATTTTGAGATTCTGAGATTCTGAGATTCTAAGATTCTGAGATTCTGAGATTTTGAGATCCTGAGATTCTGAGATTCTAAAATTCTAAGATTCTGAGATTCTGAGATTCTGAGATTCTGAGATTCTGAGATTCTGAGATTCTGAGATTCTGATATTCTAAGATTCTGAGATTCTGAAATTCTGAGATTCTAAGATTCTGAGATTCTAAGATTCTGAGATTCTGAGATTCTGAGATTTTGAGATCCTGAGATTCTGAGATTCTAAAATTCTAAGATTCTGAGATTTTGAGATTCTGAGATTCTGAGATTCTAAGATTCTGAGATTCTGAGATTTTGAGATCCTGAGATTCTGAGATTCTAAAATTCTAAGATTCTGAGATTCTGAGATTCTGAGATTCTGAGATTCTGAGATTCTGAGATTCTGAAATTCTGAGATTCTAAGATTCTGAGATTCTAAGATTCTGAGATTCTGAGATTCTGAGATTTTGAGATCCTGAGATTCTGAGATTCTAAAATTCTAAGATTCTGAGATTTTGAGATTCTGAGATTCTGAGATTCTAAGATTCTGAGATTCTGAGATTTTGAGATCCTGAGATTCTGAGATTCTAAAATTCTAAGATTCTGAGATTCTGAGATTCTGAGATTCTGAGATTCTGAGATTCTGAGATTCTGAGATTCTGAGATTCTGAGATTTTGAGATTCTGAGATTCTGATATTTTAAGATTCTGAGATTCTGAAATTCTGAGATTCTGAGATTCTGAGATTCTGAGATTCTGAGATTCTGAGATTCTGAGATTCTGAGATTTTGAGATTCTGAGATTCTGATATTTTAAGATTCTGAGATTCTGAAATTCTGAGATTCTAAGATTCTGAGATTCTAAGATTCTGAGATATTCAATTTTTACGCGATTTCCTAGATTTTTCCGCCGGTTTTGTGGAACTTTAAGAAAAAACAATCACTCAAGATATGAAATTTTCACGGGAACATTGTATTTATTGAATGTTCGAAGTCACTAAACATTTTTGAATTTTACGTGATTTTTTCTCATATTTTCACCTTACAACGCCAAAAAAAAATTTGAAAACTTTCAATGCCCCAAATAGCCCCGAAAATAAAAAAAAACCACCAAAAAATTCTACCGTTTTAAACATGGAATCCAATGCTCCTTCCTTCTCATATTCCTCCGTGTACCCAATCATTTTCTTCATCGTCTCCACTTTTAGAATCGCCAGCTTACGTGTCTCCTCGTGAAGCCACGTGGAATTCTGAATCATCTCAATGTAGGCCTTCTTGAGGACGTCAACCAATTCAGAAGCCACCGCTTTGTTCTCTTTTTGAAAATGATTTCGTACGAAAACCCGGATAGCAGCTCTTGGAAGAAGATTGGTGATAACCTGAATATTTGAATTAGATAAGATTTTAAAAGGTACAGTATACCATCAAGCAACTATCGTATTCTGATGCGGGAGATATAGGAGCCAAGGCATAGAAGAATTGGGCATATTCTATGTACTTCAAAATCAGGTAGTTGGCCAATACTCGTGGTTTCGTTCTAGAGATTATAGCAGATATCTGAAAACTAATTATTCGAATTTCCAGAAATTACAAGATTCACATTATTTTTCGAATTGAAAAACGAATCGAATCTCCCAGATGAAATTCTGCTCTTCAAACGTGTCCAATTTCCGTGGTCCGGATGCAAAAAACTTTTCATAATTCTCTCGAAATCAATGTTAGGAACTGCAGATTGTAGCTCCTCCAGGCTGGCAGAAATTGGCCAAGAATTAAGAGATATGTAGAACTGAAAATATAAACAAGTCTTAAATCTTTCTTTTGATTTGAATAATTACATTTCCCAACTCTTTATCCAGCTCCAAACTTTCTTGAACGTCCCTCAATAAATTTTTGCGGAGAGCATCAAGTCCACTTAATCGGAGCACATCAAAAATAGTCTGAAAAATTGGATAATGGCCTAACTTTTCTTGGCCCACAAACCTCGGCCAATTTCTCCTGGGAAGTGGAAAATCGATCCAAAGATGGTCTTATTATCAGTTGTTTAGGAGATCCATTGATCGGGTATTCGACCAATCCGGTCTCGAAAAATCCGAAATCTTGCATATGCAGTTTCGCCATATTTTTGAGCATTTCTGGAAAATTAGAATCATAAGATTTCGGATTTTTTTAATCTCAGAATTTCAGAATCTCAGAATTTCAGAATCTCAAAATCTCAGAATCTCAGAATCTCAGAATTTCAGAATCTCAGAATCTCAGAATTTCAGAATCTCAGAATCTCAGAATCTCAGAATCTCAGAATCTCAGAATCTCAGAATTTCAGAATCTCAGAATTTCAGAATCTCAGAATCTCAGAATCTCAGAATCTCAGAATCTCAGAATCTCAGAATCTCAGAATCTCAGAATCTCAGAATCTCAGAATCTCAGAATCTCAGAATTTAAAAATATCGGGATTTCAGAATTTCCAATTTTCAGAAGTTCAGAGTTCTAAATCTCAAGACGCACCATTCAAATCGAAATCTGACTCCTTCCAGTTTCTATCAGCAATCGGCCATTTTCCAATTTTCTGAATATCTTGGAAAATTTCCACCTGGACCGTTTCGATGTGCTCTTCCATATTTTCCCTTCTGTGACTTTCTGTGCAACTCTTGTATAAAAGTTTCAGAGCAATTTCAGATCGAGAATTTGTTGATTGGTTTTTGAGAATGAAATCTGGAAAATTGGGTTACTTTAGAGGTTTTGAATTAAAGTGGACAGGTCACTAGGGAAAAATTTGTGATTACGGTAAGTTTAAGATTACGGTGAGAAATTTGGGATTACGGTAAGAGCTAAAGAATTTCGGAAAAATCTGATTTTCTAAAAAAATGAGGATCGCGGTGGAAAAGTGAGGGTGAACAAAATTACTGTGAAAAGGGAAAACTAATTTTTATGTTTGCAGTAAATGGTTCACGGTAATGAACCATTTACTGCACCAAGATTACTGTAGCTAGAAAAGTTCAAAGATGCTTCAAGAAACCTGTGAAAACCTTCAAGAAACCTTCAAGATAACCGTAGAACTCAGGATTACTGTACCCCATTAACGTTTAATCAAATTCAAAACAATTTCATCTTTCTCATGCATCCTCGTCCCCTCATTTGCAGTATGCTCATGATATTTTCCACACGTGTACTCATAGAAATCGTCACAAGGGTCTACACTTGTATTCTGCCAGCTCAGCTGAAAACTCCGTTTCTCATTAGAGCGCACTTTCTGACACTTACCAAAGTCCCCGCCAATGCTACACACTCTGCCGTTTTACATTCATTCGGCAGTTTCGGACAATTTTTCGGACAATTTTCACCGATTTCCAGTTTCCAGAAAACCACCAAAAATAACATTAAAACCACAAGGAGAACCAGAAAAATGATAATAAAAATAAGCGGATTACAGTATTTCGACATTTTCTCATCTTCTTTTTCATCATCGTTGTCTTCATCATTCTCCAAAGACTGAGTCACATCCAGAAGTCGGGAATTCTCTGTATCTCTGACACTAAAAATTATGGAATTTTCAGAAAAAAATTGAGTCTGAAAAACTGACTTCATGATAACTAAAATTTGTAAATTTTCAAAAAAGAAAAAAACCCAAATTTATTCTCAAACTGATCGGATAGATGGCAAATTGATCAATTGATCCATAAGATCCTTTGAGACGTGGCACAGAAAATTCAGAAAATTCTGGTTCACGGTTCAAAAAATGTGAAAAGTTTTGGATTTTTGACCTCCAAAGGAAAATCTAACAATTTTTTGTTTGAATCCCGTGACTTTCTAACACTTTAAAACGTCATAAAACGTCTCTATAAATTTTGCCAAGGGCTCAATTCAAATAATCAAAATCTCAAAATTCGTCTTCCCTTTTTCTCAGGTACTATCAATAGATTTGCACCAGTATTGAAAGAGAAACAAATGGGAATCAAGTGAGTTGACCGAAAATGGCCTAGATGTTTAGGCTTGTTAGGCTTATCTGAACCGTTCCAGATTGGTCCAGGTGGGCTTGAACAGCACCGGGCTGAAATTTATCATATTTTGACGTTTTAATAGAAGTTAGTCAAAATTGGAGTTCTCAAAAGGTTGTCCAGGAATTCTGGAACTTTCTGAAAATTCCAGAGTACACTAAACAAGCTTAGAGACATGAAAGTTGGTGGACTAGAAAATCCAACTTACGAGAGTTTGGCCACGATGGTAAATGGCCTAGACAACACATCGTGTACTTATCAGGTCATTTTTAAACCATCTACCATGGTGGCCTAAAAACGCAACCTGCAAAAATTAGGTCGCTATGGTAATTAACCTAGAAAACGAATCGAGGTCATGTTAGACCATTTCTGAGCCATCAACTACGGTTGTCTAGAAAAAGCATGTTGAGAAAATTAGGTCACGTTACTCTAGTTTTTCAAAAGTATTGTATCTCCAATAATTTACAGCGACAACAATGAAATCATTCCTGCGATAATCCAGGGACCACCAGCCCGTCCTCCTGTCACATCCTTTTTCAAAGACTGTTGCACATGGTGCTGCTGTATTTGCTGTTCCATCATCCTTTTCCTCTTTTTGACCTCCTTGGGCGCCAAAAGAGATCTGGGTCGGATTCAGATGGAATATGAACGATTTGAAAATATTAATAATTTCTCATTGTCACACACTCCACCTGGCGGACCAAAGCCGTCAGAACCTCCAAAACACCCTGATAGACCCACAAAGACTCCACAAGACAGAAAAAGAATTACTTGTATGACTGAACCATGTGTCAGAGTAGCTGAGACAATGGTGAGTTCAATAGAGCGAGTTTGCATTTTCTATTAAAACTTCATTTTCTAGAAATCCCTCATGAAGCCAACCACGTCTCCATGTACTGATTTCTACGAGCATGCTTGCGGAAATTTTGAAAGTCTTGAAGCTCAAAAATCGCTAATCCATCAAGAAAGGTACTACGAAGAATCCATAACGGCGCTCAAAACAGCAGCAGGATTTATGGAAAATCGAATCGATGAAATCGCACTTCCAGCTGAGATAAATTTGAGAAAAGTGTATATGAAATGTTTGAGAAGGGATCATCGGGATGTTGAGGATTTGATGGAAACGTTGAGAACGGATTTTTTGTGGCCGTTTGATGATAGAAGAGATTTGACGTGGACCGGAGTTGTGAACCGTGAGTGAAATTTATTTTTTCTGAATTTTTTAACCGAAAATTTTTTAAATTACACGTTTTTAAACACAAGAAGAATCTGATGATTCTGTGCCGGCCTCTATTTTTTACAATTTTTGAGTTTTTGAATTTTAACATTTCAGGGTATCATTTTCAAAATTTCAATTTTCATAGTTTTAGAAAAAAAAATTCAATTTTCATAGTTTTAGAATTTAGAATTTTATAATGGCAGAAGTTCAGAATCCTAATATCTCAAGATTCGGAAGTTTAGAATTTCAGAATTTACTTTCAGAATTTTAGAAAATCAACATTTTACAATTTCAGAAATTGAGAAATTCAGAATTTCAGATATTAAGGATTTTTAAAGTTTTGAATTTTAAATTTTGGAAAAAAAAATTTCAGACATCCTCGGAAAACTGATCAAGTTGAGCCCAAAAAGCCTCCAAATCTTCAAAATCACTGAAGTCGACAAAAAATTAATAATCCGCTCCAGTTTTTGTCACGGACGTCATAAAGCGATAGATCAAACACTTGTGACCAAATTCTTTACTTCTGTATCCAAAGACTCAGAAAATGAAGTTCGGAAAAACCTCGAAAAAAGTTTGAGGATTGCACTGGAGCTGGATAAGTTTCGAGAGTATTGTGTCAGTCGATTTCTCTGTGTATCCCGAATTCCAGATGTCCTAATTTTTCAGACTGAACGTGACCCACCAAAAGACCGAAATCGGGAGTTCGTTGTTGATTATGATATTTCGAATATTAATTTCGTTGCGATTATTGGATCGATTCTGGGACCTAACAAGTTGAGCGATCAGCAAATTGAGTCTCACATCAAGTTTGAGGAATCTCATGAGTTTTTCGATGAGAATGTAATTTTTGAAATTGAAAATGGTTTCAAACTAATTTTGAATGTTTTAGAGTCATTTGAATAATCATCTACACCATAATTCGATAGGGTTTGCACACTATTTGGTCATCAAATATATCGAAGAATTGGGAGCAACTTTCTTATTGCCGTCGAAGAGGGATTGTGCAAAAGTGGGGTTTAAAAAACCGGAGAAATGAGATTCTGAAGTTCTGAGAAACTGAGATTCTGAGATTCTGAGATTCTGAGATTCTGAAATTCTGAGATTCTGAGATTCTGAGATTCTGAAATTCTGAGATTCTGAGATTCTGAGATTCTGAGATTTTGAAATTCTGAGATTCTGAGATTTTGAAATTCTGAGATTCTGAGATTCTGAGATTCTGAGATTCTGAGATTCTGAGATTCTGAGATTCTGAGATTCTGAGATTCTGAGATTCTGAGATTCTGAGATTCTGAAATTCTGAGATCTGAGATTCTAAGATTCTGAGAATCCGAACGACCTGAGGATCGCAAAATTCTTAAAGTCTGAAAATTCGAAGATCCTAGTCAACTTCAGAGTCCTAAAAAAGATATTTTGGAGTTACTTACAGTGTAAAATTTAGTTTAAAATTTACAGTGTATAAAAAACTGGAGTAAACTGAATGTTCTAAATCAGCCAAGATCCTACTTAATTGGCATAGATTAATGTACTTTCAGATCGCGTTCTCCATGATGCCACGTACCGCTCTCTCCATCTACATCAACCATTTCGTCCAACCCGATAACATCATAGCGATCCCGAACTTGATCGATTCCATCCGATCAGAATATATAGATCAAATATCCAAATCCAAAAAATTTGATAAACCATTGAAAGCCCAAATGATCAAAAAGTTGGAAAAATTCAAAACGGACATTGGATCCCACGGAATTGGATTCTCGGAGAACAATTTGTTGGAGAGGGTCATAATCCATAATAGGCAATCTTTTTACAAAGTCATCACACAATTTAACACTCAAAATATGCAAGAGGCTCTTTTATCAATTGCTCACGATAAGACAATCAGTGAGAATACGCATGCTAGATCGATTTTCAATCAGGAGTTTCCAGTGGAAAGTCGGTCAACTTTTTCGGAAAATTTTGGCGGCAAAATCGAAAATTTGTAATTTCCAGAAATCTACGCTCTTATGAAAACCCAACCACGATTCGATGTCAGCTACCCATCAGCTGTCCAGTATGGAAAAGGAGGTCATGACGTGGCGTCCGATATGTCGGTTATTCTGAAAACGTTGGGAAAAAATGCCACGAAAAGTTTTGGCAAATGTCTTCTAGGACATAGTCATGATGCTGTATGAAACGTAGATTTATTTTTTTTTAAATTATTTTCCAGAACATTCTTGTGGATTTCATGGGCATGAAAGTGGCATGGGACAAGTATCGAAAATCGAAAAAGCCAGAGGAGTTGCAATTACCTGAATTTGATTATGCCACCGGCGATCAACTCTTCTTCTATTCTATGATCCAATCCACGTGTCAAAAAAAGACTACAAAGAATACGGTATCCCATGGAAATCGACTCAATTTCCTTCTTCAACAAATTGAAGGATTTGGAGAGGCTTTTAACTGTCCGGCTGGGGCAAATATGATGAAAAAGAAGTTGAAATGCGAACCGAATGATGATTTGATGATGATTTGAATTTTAAAATGTGTTTGTCCTAAAAGAAATTAATAAAGATATTTTGAGTCAATGTTTTATTTATTTTGAAAAGAAAAGAAGGTTCACAGGGGAGGAATGATAGGAAAGAGAAGTTGAAGAGGAGTTTGAAAAAAAGTTACAGATTTGAATAAAGATTTGAATTTGAATAAAGATTTGAATAAAGATTGGAAAATAAAAAAATGCAGAGAACTCGGAGATTGGAAGGCTGGAAAAAGAAACGCGTGGCAAATAATGATAAAAATGACAGAAAAGATAAAATAATTCGGGAATTTCAACTGGATTTTTCTGTTAAAAATAATTTCACGGGAATTTTTTATTTAGAATTTGAAAATTTGAGAACTCCAGAATCTCAGAATCTTAGAATCTCAGAATCTCAGAATCTCAGAATCTCAGAATCTCAGAATCTCAGAATCTCAGAATCTCAGAATTTCAGAATTTCAGAATTTCAGAATCTCAGAATCTCAGAATCTTAGAATTTGAGAACTTGAGATCTCCAGAATCTCAGAATTTCAGAATTTCAGAATCTCAGAATCTCAGAATCTCAAAATCTTAGAATTTGAGAATTTGAGAACTCCAGAATCTCAGAATCTCAGAATCTCAGAATCTCAGAAACTCAAAATCTCAGAATCTCAGAATCTCAGAATCTCAGAATCTCAGAATCTCAGAATCTCAGAATCTCAGAATCTCAGAATCTCAGAATCTCAGAATCTCAGAATCTCAGAATCTCAGAATCTTAAAATCTCAGAATCTCAGAATCTCAGAATCTCAGAATTTCAAAATCTTAGAATCTCAGAATCTCAGAATTTCAAAATCTTAGAATTTGAGAATTTGTGAACTCCAGAATCTCAGAATCTCAGAATCTCAGAAACTCAAAATCTTAGAATCTCAGAATCTCAGAATCTCAGAATCTCAGAATCTCAGAATCTCAGAATCTCAGAATCTCAGAATCTCAGAATCTCAGAATCTCAGAATTTCAGAATTTCAGAATTTCAGAATTTCAGAATTTCAGAATTTCAGAATTTCAGAATCTCAGAATCTCAGAATCTCAGAATCTCAGAATCTCAAAATCTTAGAATCTCAGAATCTCAGAATTTCAGAATCTCAGAATCTCAGAATTTCAGAATTTCAGAATCTCAGAATTTCAGAATTTCAGAATTTCAGAATTTCAGAATTTCAGAATCTCAGTTTGTGGATTTCGAGATCTTTGAGTTTTCCGAAACTTTTGGATTCACAGATGTTTCGGTTTTTCCGATTTCGAGAGTTTCGGAATTTTCAGATTTTCAGCATTTTTGTATTTATTGGATTTTCAGAATTTTCGGATTTTCAGAAAATGGAAAACTTTGGGAAACTCCGAAAGCGAAAAAATTCTCTGGTTCATAATTTTTTATGATTATTTGTTTCAAATTTTTTATTTAAATTCCCTATTCAATTCTTTCCCCAATTAGTCTTCAAGGTCTATATTTTTCCTTTTTCCCTATCTTTTCATCCCCCTATTATCCCTGTTTTCTGGCTCTGAGCACCGTCCAAGTTGAAGGTCATAAAATGTAATACATGATCATAAAAAAGGAATATGTCTATGTATCCCCAAGTATTCGAAAATAGGTTTATTCAAAAAAAGAAAGAAAAAAGTACACATTTTTTTGAACGATCGCAACCTTTTTCTCATTTTAACGATGTGTGAGAAAGGAGGCAGATGACATTTAAAACAATTTCCGAAATTTCTCTTTTTTTCGTTGGCGAATCGTTCTTCTTTTTTGAAATTTCTTTTGTCTACAGTAATCAATTTTTCAAAATCTACAGTAATCCAATTGAGGATTGACTTGTAAAATTTTTTAAACTACAGTAACCCAATCGAAAATGCCAATTGAACTTGACGCCAAGACAATCCATTTTTTGGAGGCCTATTTCGCCATCAAGCAATCGCCGGATACTACCGAATTGCATTATCTGCGATCGCTCACTGGAGCTAGATTTGAAGATGTGAGTTTTGAAAAAAAATTTTCAGAAAAAAAAGTCACAAAATTTCAGCTGAACAACTGGTTCAAGAGACGTCAAATTCTGAAGCAGTGTAATCGTCCACTGGTGTCTCAGATCCACGCTGCTAGAAGTGACCAGGAAGATGTAAGTCATAGAAAAGGATCGAAAATCAATAAAAAGGTTTTCAGCCTGAGCCAACTCTCAGGGAGCTCCGAGACAAACAAGACCAACTTATGGAGCAACTCCTCCAAGTCGCCGCCAAAGTTCTGGAGAAGCAGCTTGGGGAATAAATACTCTATTAGAACTGCTCCTTTACTTTGAGCATATCCACACGGTCTAGTTTGAGTTCAATTATCTCAATTCCAGTAAAAGGTATCAAAATCTGTCAACTGATAAAACAATTTTGATTTTATGATAATTATCCATTGACACCTTTTTTCATATCCTGACAGGAACCGAGATAAATCGCTTAAAAGTAAGGGGTCAATTCAATTAAAGGTGTCACAATTTTGATTTCTTTTTCCATGTCTTACTCTCCCTTTCCCCAGATGCTCTCTTGTTTACTGTTGGAATAAGAATTTCCTAATAATTCCAATAAAAGTTGTTTACGATCACTTGGTACATCGACCACGAGTGACAGGTGGTGACGGTTACTGCGATATTTGGATGCGGGGAGAAATTTTTTTGGGTAATGGGATTTTTGTTTTTGGGGTTTTGAGCGATGATGAAATGTGTACTTTTGCTACTTTAGTGAGAGAGAGAGAGAGAGAGAGAGAGAGAGAGAG